GAGCGAAAAGGACAGAGGAGTCAGCGCTGGATCGGAGACCTGCAGCAGCGCTGGAGGGACAGCTAAAAACTACAGGAAATAAGATCGGATTAGGAGTCATCATTTAAGGTAAGTCCTTACTTTAGCACTGGTGGGGGGGACTTTAGCCTTTAATGTCACTTTAAGTCTTTGTAAAAAATACACCCAACGTCCTCCCTGTGGGCACCCCTACCTACAAGAAAAAAATATAATCTCATTGATCAAATATGCCCATGTGGCCATATAGGGTCAATGATGTCACCATCATCCTGGCCCTTGGTTTACATTCAGCTGCGGGGCAGGGAATGCCCCAACCACAGCTGATTGGGCCAGTACTGACAACTTATTTCTGGGTTCGGATGAACTCAAGTTGGGACCAAACCCAAGGTCATCCCTAATTTTAATGTAACTAGCTATACAAGTATTGGTAATAAATACAAGAAGCATTATTTCTATACTTTTTTCTTCATCTAAACTAAGATCCTACATTGCAGCACTTCTAAACTTCTAAACCAAATCTTTGGCACTTTCAAACTTATTATACAATCAAAACTAAAAAATGGAGCGTGTCCCACACCAGCTCTAAGTGTTGGAAAGAGTATATTTTACTTTAAGGAATATATTTAACTACATTTTTGTGCTCGGAGTTCAGTTTTAGTGTATTGTAATTAATATTTTCTCTGTAAGTAAAATGAAATCCGGAGAGAGATTAGAATTCACCCACAGAAATTAAATTTTCTGTTTGTAATCATTTATTTTTAGCAGTCATGGACAAGCAACTACTTTCAGGGCTACCATTATAACTGTCCTAACATTAGCACACTGCTAATTTATTTTAGAACAATGAAAGAGCTCTAATAATCCTTCTAATGGTAGCTGCATGACTGAATCTGGCACAAGATTTCTTCTCCCTTTGACAAGTTATTGTCTAAATGTGCAAAGTGAAAATATTGTATCATTTTTAATAAGAAAATAGTATGCTTCCTGTAGAGATTCCACACCATGCAGGTTGCAACCAATTCTACAGAAATTTATCGCACACAAGTACAAATTGTCAATTTTGTTTTAACTCCTTACACTACAACTATTATATTCTACATTTCTTGACGTGTAATTAGATTACTAAAGGTAGCCAGCAAATGTAACCAGAGACAATATTATTAAAACATTATTTAAATAAAAGAAGTAAAAATAATAATACTATATATATA